GCTCCTCTGCGCAGTGCTGGCTCCGGCTCAGTGTTGTTGTGGTTTTTGTGGAAGGCTGTGATTAGTGTTGGGACTGCGCCCAGGTTGTTCGCTCGGCGGTGGCACCTCTGTGTATACTTCTCTCTCCGCTAGTTGGAAATGTTGACATTTGTTATTAAACCCACCATGAGGGAAACCAGCATGACGCAGCCTTCTGTCCAAGGAACTACAAGTCCCATGGCAGCCACTTCCTGGGAGATGGTCAGCAATGAGTGAAGCTGGCACCGGTGCAGAGCCGTAGTCGGGAACAAACCGGGTCCTGAGCAGGCGGGCAGCGAGGTACAGAATGGGCAGACAGAGGTGGGGTCAGGAGCCGGCCGGATCCCGATCAGGCGGGCAGCGAGGTACAGAATGGGCAGACAGAGGTGGGGTCAGGAGCCGGCCGGATCCCGATCAGGCGGGCAGCGAGGTACAGAATGGGCAGACAGAGGCGGGGTCAGGAGCAGGCCGGGTCGGTAATGTGCAGTGTAGAATCGGTAAGCAGAAGGAAGGTCCGTATAAAGCCGAGGTCAGGGGCAGGCAGCAATCAGAACAACCCGGGTCCCGATCAGGAAACACAGGAAGCTCGGCACTAGCTGAAGAACTCTCAGCAAGGAAAAGGTGCAGAGCTCCTCCTTAAAAAGGCCGTCTGGCACCAATGTTCAAATGGGTGCGTGTGCACGTGGAGTAGTGCGTGCACATTTGCTCGCATGCTCACAAGTGCTTGCAATCCTTCCGCTGGAATGGCTCACATGAGTGTGCGCATGTGCATGAAAATGTGCAGAGCCCAGGCTGGATTATGGTCTCCTCTGGGACCCGGGCTGGATCGTGGCCTCCTCTGGGGGCCTGGGCTGGATCGTGGCCTCCTCTGGGGGCCTGGGCTGGATCGTGGCCTCCTCTGGGGGCCTGGGCTGGATCGTGGCCTCCTCTGGGGGCCTGGATTAATTAGAGTGTCCTCTGGGGATCAAACACTAATCATAACATAGACCAATAGATAAGAACCTCCCACTCTCAGCCTGATTTCTGGTGTACAGAGGGTTTGGGGAAGAGAACTAGTAATATACAGTATAGTAGTCTGCATTGTTCTGCACTGCGTCGCCTTCAGAGTGATGTCCACATGGAAGTGGCATTGGAGAGAAGTGATGGTGAGCCCGGCGTGGGGACATTTTGCCCACAGCCATCACGGAGATCTGATCTCCCGGATTTGTACATGTCTTCCCAGAATCGGCTCCATTTCGGAGCACCTGACACCAATGCGAAGCACGGGGCGGAATCGGGAAAATTCCTGAAAACGTGAAGTTTTTGTAAAAGTGCCAAGAATGTCGTTTTATCTGCCGCCCGATTGTGGGGCGCCCCGGCCCTCCTTTGACCCGGTCACACTGTATATATGATTTGCAGAGCAGTAAACACTTTGTAACCTTTCCAGAATGATGACACGCAGCGTCCTGTCCGCCCGCGCTGCCTCATTCACCGCTGGAAACGCGCCGTCCCATTCACATGCAAGGAAAAATTCAGATTCTTGTCCTTGCCGGGCTCTGGCAGGAATCGGAGAGTCATTACGTCAGGATGACCATGTTTGTCCTGACATGTTCACGCGTTTCCCATCCGAACACCCAACATAAGCTGATACTTCTCTGTCTGGTGTGTTTGGCCTGTACGCAGAGTGAATGAAAACATGACGGGGACAAACATGGATCCATACCGGACAGAAAGGTTACGGAGGAGCAGACCTGATGGGTCACGTGTCCTCTTCTTCTCCGATCATTCTTCTATGTATGCAGGGCCCAATTTCCCACAAGGCCAACCGAGGCCCAGCCGCAGGGCAGCAGGGAGTGGAGGGGCGGCAGGGAGTATAGGGGCGGCAGGGAGTATAGGGGCGGCAGGGAGTGGAGGTATGTTTGATATTTTGCACAACACGAACCCGGTGACATCATAATACAACACAGGACCCAGGATAGTGACATAATTTCTGTGTAATGCAGCTCAGGGCCCTCCGATATAGCCATAACACAGCAAGGGGCCCTAGGATGTCTCTTTAACACAGTACAGGGCCCCTAGGATGTCCCTTTAACACAGTACAGGGCCCTAGGATGTCACTGTAACACAGCACAGGGCCCCTAGGATGTCCCTTTAACACAGCACAGGACCCCTAGGATGTCACTGGACCACAGCACAGTGCCCCTAGGATGTCACTGTAACACAGCACAGGGCCCCTATGATGTCACTGTAACACAGCACAGGGCCCCTAGGATGTCACTGTAACACAGCACAGGGCCCTAGGATGTCACTGTAACACAGCACAGGGCCCCTAGGATGTCACTGTAACACAGCACAGGGCCCCTAGGATGTCACTGTAACACAGCACAGGGCCCAGGTATAGCGCCACACTGCAGTTACCAAGGATGACACTATGGGTATGATTTATGAATCATCTGGCCAGCCATACACTAGGAGATTCACATTTATATGACATTCCCGCCAATACATAGGAGCCGAGGAGCATAGGCAATTCTTCTGCTCCTTGGTTCCATCTAGTGGCGGGAATGCCATGCAAACGGAGCAAGGTTTTTTTTTGCTATGCTCCTCGGCTCTATCTAGCGGCAGGAATGCTGTGCAAACTCATTCATCCATTGATGTCTGGGCGGATAATTTATAAATCATCCTTTTAAGAATCAGATAAAAGCCAGACTTCCGCTGTACTGTCTCTCTGGAGTGTCCAAAAGAAAACCCTTAGTCATTTATAAAATATTTATTTGTGATTGTGAGCCTATGATAAAAAGCGAGATGGAAAGAATCAGCTCAGCTTGTACCCAAAGGAAAAACAAAACAAAACTGATCCAAGGCCATTTTATGTTTCCCATTTAATACAAGGTGCACCCATGACATTGGTTTTGCAGGGCACCCTGGATTTTCTATGGCGAGGTCACGGCAGAAGCTTGTCCTTCTTATGTCTGAAACTCCATATGGATCCACTCCAAATATATGAATAAAATGGCAGACGTGTCTGATAAGCCTGAGTGTAGCTATACATGGCAACTAATCTCAGGATCTGATTCCAGTCCGTTCTGGTTCAATTATTCAGCTTCTCCCCCAAACTTCATAATCCTTCCCTGGCAGACATGGCGCCTTGTCCTCTGCCAGTGCCGGGCAGGATTTCTGGCAGAACATATTATCTGGAGATGACCTGCGGGCATGCTGGGTGTGGTTGCAGCATATTCTGTAATGTTTCGTATTCCAGTCTTACAGCTCTTTCTAGGGCCCCATTGTGCCTGTGACTCCCCATTGTGCCTGTGACTCCCCATTGTGCCTGTGACTCCCCATTGTGCCTGTGACTCCCCATTGTGCCTGTGACTCCCCATTGTCCCTGTGACTCCCCATCAATGCATCCATGGACACTGATCTCTTCCACACCGCATGTAATAGTATCACGATGGGTGCTGGTGATGAGTGCTATCACTGGGAGATAGAAGGGAGGTCTTGCCCCATTGGGAATGCCTTAAGCTGCCCGCACACTCAGGGCCGGTGCTGCCACTAGGCAAACTAGGCAGCCGCCTAGGGCGCAGCCTCGAACACTCAACCCCCCCACGACGCCCCCTCCCTGTCTATTTAAAATTGCAAACACCAATGGCAGGCTGGCTATTGTACCCGCCCACTGAGCAGAGGAGCGGAACTGGGAGACAACTTTCTTTCTCAGGTCCACTCATCTGCTCAGTGGGCGGGGTTTCAATAGCCAGCCTGCTATTGGCTATTTCAAATTTAAAATAGCCAACAACAGTCTGGCTTTTGCTCTCGGCTGCTTACATTCACCTGTCACTTGCGGAAGCTAGCCGGCAGAAGAACGGTGCAACGTGGGGGGATTGGGGGTTGCGACACGGGAGAGGGGGCTGGGGGGTGCAAGTAGCTGGTCTTGCCTTGGGCCTTGCATACACTGGAAGATTTTCTTATGAAAACCTCGTCGGAACATTCGAAAATGTCATCACCTGACAGATTGTTTGTTTGATTTTAACATTGTCAGGAAGCAGGGGGTGTTGCCCCTGCTCGGGGGCCACGGGCACGGCGCAGGGCACGGGTTTCCCCTCAGCTTGGCAGAACTCCTGGTGCCCTGGTTGCGGGTACGCATGCTCGAGTCGCACGGCGCCTGCGCATGCGCGGTACGCAGGCTGCGCGAGCATCCCCGGGGGCACGTGTGTAGCACTCCTGCTCCATTAGGCATCAGGTGTGAGCCTTGCTGGGGGAGGTTCCCTGTACACACCTTCCATCTCTCTCGCCTGCCATTGGTTCTCGAGGAAGGAAGCCTCCTGGTTGCCTCGGCGACCGGGGGGTGGTCCTAACTCCCCTGGCTATAAAAACCTGGCCTGAGCTCTGGCTTATTGCTGAGTTATTCCACCTCATGGTGTGACATACGAAGCTCCCCTCCTATGTGCCTTGTTGCCTGTTGCCTGTTGCCTGTTGCCTGTTGCCTGTTTCCTGAACCCTCTGCTGACCTCCCGTGTACCGACCTTGGACCGCCTATCGTTTCTGACCCTCTGCTGCCTGCCTCGACCTCGGATTACCCTCAACTACCTCTTTGGATTGCCCCCTGGTTACCTTGCCTTTGGACCCTTCCGGCTGCTTCCTGCCAGCGGGTTCCCTCTGTGCTGCTCGCCCATGGACGCACCTGATAAACATTCAGTTTTGGGAGTTTCCTGAATGAAAGCCGCACTCACCGTTAGAATTTCATTCACTTGAGGAAAATTTTCCATCTCAGTCCTCCAATTATATTTTTCATAGTTACAGTTAAAACCAATTTTGTCAATTTGACCTCATTAACTATTAGAAAACGGAGCAAACATCTGAAAACAAATGTTGTCAAAGAAAGTTCTTCCGGCGTGTGGCCGGCTTTGGTCCTGGGAAGGCTGTGGGGCTGTAAATGGGTTTTGGGTGAGCCAAGTCTTGTGCAATGGCCGCCACATGGGCTAACCTTGTCCTCCTCCTCATTTCAGGTGCTGTAATATGGATTCCCTGTGCCTGTCAGTCTGTCCTCCACCAAGGTGAACTCTGACCCCCCACGTGTGTCGTCATCCTCCACCTCCTCCGCCCCAGTATGTGGCGTCTATCCCGGCTTCTTCTTCTACTCTTCCTTGTGAGAGACTGCTCAACATCAACATGGCAGAACCCCAACAGACCCTTCATGTCTTTAGATCCCAACGTCCACTACAACCTCTCCACCTTCACCGCGCCCGACGCCATCCAGAACCTGGCCTCCAAGAAGGGGCCTTTGCTCTTCATTGCCACCACCAACCACCTCTATGTGCTCAGTGCCTCCGACCTTCATGTCTTGCAGGATCTGATTACTGGTCCCACCAACAGCTCCGAGTGTGACCTGTGCTCAAAATGTGATATGGGCAGTGCCCGCCCGGCCCAGGCTGAAGACACGGACAGCAAAGTCTTGGTGTTGGATCCGGTCGAAGACCTTTTGTACAGTTGCGGTTCTTCTCTTCGCGGAGTTTGTTTCCTGCATGAATTTGACAACTATGAAATCTTGTATTCCTCTTTCCTGTTCCGTGCCGCTTCCAACTCTCCTTCCTTGTGCCCGGACTGTATCGCCAGCCCCCTCGGCACAGTGGTTACCCCTCACGTTCACTTGAGGTCTGTCCTTTTCTATGTGGCCTCGACGGTGGATTCTAACGTGGCGGGGAGCTACGGTACCACGTCGGTGTCCATCAGGCGAATGCTGACCTCCCAGGATGGCTTTGCGGCGGACTTCCACTCTCTGACCGTTCTTCCTCTGTACATGAACACATACCCCATCCATTACGTGTACACTTTCAGTACGGACAAATATGTCTTCTTCTTGACGGTGCAGCCGGAGAGCGGGCATTCCAAAAACTACCACAGCAGGTTGGTGCGTCTGAGCGCAACAGAGCAGGAGATGAAGAGGTGAGAGCACAATCTTATGTCTAGGTGGAAGATTATTCATTTAATACCCCGGGGGCTACTATGGCAGGTAAATGGCAACAAGGGGTGCGGCACGCACCCGGGTGGCACCATTGGAGGGGTGACACCAAAATGACTGGCAGTCATTTTGGTGTCACCCCCCTCTAAAAAGTCGGGCACTCGGTCAAGGACCGAGAGCCCGACAGTGTCAGGAGAGAGGAGGGGACCCGGCGGGCATACCTCATCCCATCGGGTAAACGTCCCCCCTCTCTCTGCCTTAGTCCACCACCAAGATGGCCGCCGGCAGGCGTCAATTAGAAGGCCGCACATGTGTGACGTTTCACTGGTCACTGCTGTTATTCGGGATCATCCCATGTAACCTCTGCCCCGT